TGTGCCGTCGGAGGAGTCGATGGGCATGGCCGGGAGTTCAAGTAGCGTGCTGGCGTGCGCTCGTAGGCCGGCGAATGAAGCGCACGCCATCCACCGCTTGTGCAGCGCCCGTCTGGTGGCTTCAGCCTGTCATGGTGCCTGCTGCCTGGCCCCTATAGCTCGAGCCAGCTGACGCAGGAACGCCCATGCTCCGCTACTGATCCGTCCGCCGACTTCCATGCCGAGCACGACCAAGCGGCGCCTCACCCGCCCCGCGCCCAACAGTTCAGGGTACGTGCGGTGTTTGCGCGCCGTGGCCTGCTGTAAGGCCAGCGCCGGCTCCGTGTCTGCGTGGGGTCGTGGCTGTCCATCCTCTGCACCGGGCTGACGAGCTGCGACCTGGGCCCCTCGCCACACGTGCAAGCCGTTCGCAACGACCTCGATCTGCCGCCCATCGGTCGCGATATCGCGCAGCGCGACATGAGTCGCCACCCGCGCCCCCGCTTCTCGGCATATGCGCGCCACTGCCCGCTCTAGCGGCCCCGCTCTGCGAGGACCACTACCTGTGCGCAGGCCGAGCGGTGGTCGCCCAGAGCGTCCAAACGCCCGCCACAGCGACAGCGCCGCGGAACGAGGGGTAGTGGCAGTCGGAGCCTCCTTAGGCGGACAACCCGGTACGAGTATTCATCATTAGGGACATCAAACTCCGGACACGAGGGGACTGTGGTCAGGACGCAGCTAGCTCCCTCGCCACTTTGGGACAACAGCAGCGCCCGCGATGCATTATCCAAATCAGCAAACAGCATCTCTAGCGCGCGCTTGTCCACAGCGGCTCCGGCCAGCTTCTGCCACCCCCCGTCGGCTGGTGTTTTCTGCACCCTCTCCTTCACTTGGCGGAGGGGATGCCCCTTCCCGCAGCAAGGGCTCCCACGTCGGCACGCAGCAACCCTGCATGCGCAGCGCTTGCGCAGCCTGCTCCGCAGCCGCTACACTTGGCGCTTCCCCCCGAGCAAATGTCGCATCATGTCCTCCAACTCATCGGGGTGGTGTGCCTGCAGTGCCCCGACCGTGTCAGCCCAAGAGGCCCAGTACGCGGCCTGCCGGTGGGCAACTGCAGAGGCCAACCCCATACCCCCCATTCTGAGCGGCAGCTGCCCCCGCCCATGTCGCGAGGCACGCGAGCACCGCCCCATCATGTGACGCCGCAAGCCCCCCGTTGCGGCAGGAGGGAGCGTACGCAGGAGGTATTGGCAGCGCGGGGCTGCGCAGTAGAGGAGGAGGAGCCAAGCTGTTTGCAAGTGCTGAGGCTCGGGGAGCCTTTGCAGCAGCTCGTCGTGTTTGCGGCGCACCTGGCCCTGTCGCTCAGCTGGCAGTGCCCAGCTCCCCACCCAGCTGGGGTTGGCCGGGTCCGCCCATGCTCGTGTTTTGCCCAAGTGGACCTGGACATTAGCGTGGTGGGCCAAGCAGTGCTGGGAAGCTCGCAAGGCGTCCAGGGCCCGTTCCGGCTTGGTGGTACTATACACGTCATCCAAGAACGCGTACAGTTTGTCGCCTGGTGACAGCCGGGCCGCGATCTCCCGCAAGGCGGCGTGTTGCCCGAGCGCGTACAGCCCGGGCATGAGTGGATCTCCCTGTTCACCCCCTTCCGCCTGGAGGACCTCGTGTCTGCGGCCCTCGCCGTCATAAAAGGAGTACCGACTGGCTTGGCCGTAAAACAGCATGGAGAAAGGCAGGAGGCTTGCCAGTGAGGCGAGATCACGCAACGCTGTGAACATGCTGGCTCGGGATATGTGGTCGTAAGCGCCCACCCCATCGATACTGAGCACGGTCGTGCGCGGGTCTGCTTCGACTGCTGCGCGCACCGCATGGATGAGTGCTTCCGACCCGGCCCGCGCGTGCTGAAAGCGTATTGGAACGGGGCGCACGCTTCCCTGAAAGCCTCACCGAATTGTTGCGCTAACGTTCGCGCAACGAGCCTCCGAAACACGTCCCCCATCACGAGGGCGCGCACGCCCCCGCCAGGTTTTGTGAGCGGCTAGCCTGCCTTGCCGAAATGCGTCTGCCACTGCTGAAGGCACCTCCGCTCTGGCCAGTTTTTCCGCGGTGCATGCGAGGAGGTCCGTGGCAACCCAGTATGACGCGCAGATGCTCGTTGGTACATCCCGATGGCCCCGCAGCCGATCCCCGCCTCGCACGGCGGAGGTTAGCCAGCAAGCGCGCCTTGCTGAGGGCGACCGGCGAGGCGCATGCGCCCCAGGTTCGGATCCAGGGGCACTTGCTGGACTTGCGGCCGCTTTGTTGGGTCCCGGAGTGCCTCCAACGTCGCCGTGTTGGCGGGTGCCATCGGCAAGGCCGTCAGTGTTTTGGCCGCAGCCGAAAACTCTCCCAGGTGCGCAAGGGCGACGGCGCGCTCGGCCTTCCGATGCGCATCCGCGTCATGCTGTCCTCTGGACTGATCTTGCGGCTTGCCCGAGCTCCGATTTGTCCGGGCCCGGTAGTTTCTTGGTTGAGGAACGCGCGAATGCCGTGTCGATCCGTTTGCGTTGGCCCTAGTGGCTGCAATGCTGCGACATCGGCTCCGCTGTTGCTGTCAACATCGATTTGCGTGGTCGCTGCCTGGCTGGGCCGTATGTCGTGCTCTCGTCCTGCCCGGCCCCGCCCCGCGATCCCTTCTGCCCCGACCTCTTGCCCTGGAGTGTTGCGCCGCTGCGTTTGCGACGACATTGCATGACGTTGATCTGGCATCCGAAGTCTATACCTTGCAGTCGCCGCCGCGCCAGCTCCGAGGCATGCTGCGTAACGCCCTGCGGGTTGCAATGGGAAGCATACTTTCTGCGGCCAGCGAGGACCCACGGACGAAATCAATCGCAGGGAACAGCTTTTCAGCCGGGGTGGCTGGGTGCAGCTGCTACGCGAGGCGGCAAGGGCAGCGGGCGTCCTCGGGGTGAAGCGGCTGCCGCGGGGCGGTGGGTCGCGCTCTAACGTCTCTATTGGCTTACTGGCGGCAGCCCCCCGCGCTATGTCAGCGGCCCGCGCCTCGCCCGCAAAGCAGGCCAGCAGTGCTTCTTGCGAACTGGCCGCGAGGTAGTAGCGGTCTGTCAGGAGGGCCCGCACGGCAGATTCCAAGGTTACATTCGAGTTGGGCGACGTTGTCCGCGCAAGACGTGCGAGCGCTGTTTGGCTCGTGGCTGCCGACCCTGATTGTTCGCACTGCTGAATAGCAGCCAGCAGACCCCCCACCGACACCAGCGGGCAGTTGTGCAAGGCGCGCCCCGCCTGCTGGAACCAGGGTCCCCTGGTGGGCCCCGAGGTCCACTGCTCGCTCGCCGCGGCAGCTTGGAGCCCTGCCTCGTGCAGCAGCAGCGGCACTTAGCAGCCAGACAGCCCGTGGCCGGATGTGTTGGTTGGTTGTGGGGGGCCTGCAAAACGCCAGTCTGGGCCTCGTTCCCCTTCGGGTGGTGACTCACGTATACAAATTGCACTCGCAGTTTGTGAGCGAGGCGATCCAAGAGGGGAGGCTGCCGGCGTGGCGAATTTGGGGGTGACTTCGCCAGATTTTTGGGGCGGCCGCTCTCCTGTCAAAATGCCGCTGCCTAGTAAGGCCGTGCTCGCGCGTTCGCGTTGGTCAAGCAGGGCATCCGTCCACAGGTGTTTGGGCGGTCCGGGATGGCTAGCTTCCCCTACCCTGGTGCCCTTGTGTGGGTCATTTGGGTGGCCCTTCTTTATTGGGGAGACCTTACCCTATGCAAGTCCTCCCTTCCCCTGCTATGCAAGTGGCACTGTTTTCGGCATGGCTGGATCAGGTCAGCAGTGACACCTCGAAAAATTCGGTCCAGATCTGTCACATCTGAGCGCGACCCCTGAACTTGGTGTCCGAAGGTCGGCTTTTCAAACACCCGTGTCACTGCAGTTTTTGCAGCCTCAGCAGCGGCACCTCGTCTTGCCGCTCTTGCCTTTGCCACCTCCGCGGCCCTTGCCTTTGGATGCCAGCACCAGCTCCACCGCCTCTTGCAGATGCTGGGAGTCATTGGGAGCACGTCCCCGGCCGCTGTCTTCAGCAGAGCGCTGCGGCTCCCGCGGGACCCTGGATCTGCTGCGAGAGCGGCTGTCATCCCTGTCCCACGGCCGGCTTGGGGGTCGCGTCCAGGTGTCTGGTTTGCAATTTTGCAACGTGGACAAAGAGCTCGTCAACAAACCACATGAGCTTTGCAATAAAGATCGAAGCCGCTCATGAAAAACACACGAACATTGCGCAAACAGCAGCACGCGCATCGATACTGCATAACGCAATCGAGAAGCCCAATGCATCGAAGAATAGTTTCACTCCCACGACACGTCGACCGCCGGAAGCGCAACGGCACACTGCGCTAGTTGCTGGCAGAGCCCAATCGAAAGACTAAGGACCCACCAAAATCACGAAGTGATGCAAACAAATCCCTAAAAACTTTGCAGGCAGCATCTCGAATAAAGTCAGCAAGCATCCAGCAAGCTTGCCAACAAATGTTGGACCGCCAGGCAGACGCCGCAGCATTCAAACATTCGTTATTCATTCATTGAATTCAATTCCGTACAAGTGTATCGAATCCCTTCCCTTCCGAATCTCCCGCCTCCACCTCAATTACTTGGTACCCCTCAGGCAAGATGTGCTGCCAAAACAACGCCTACTGCTGCACAGCATGACAAGGAATAAACAAAAAACATTGGCAAACCCTCTGCCGTCAATGGTCTCCGACCCGCATTGGGTTGCCGCGATGTAAAAGCCCATGTAATTAAAAATAATCTTCTGCCAAGATGCCCGCTGCTTCTCCCAACCGCACGACGTTATGCCGGACAACGCACAGCAACGCAGTTCGCCCCCAAATTGTCCAACCACCGGCACAAAAACACATGAAGCACACATG